CTAAATGAAGCTGCTGGCTACGTGGCCAGCCAAGGAAAGGCCCTTGTGCAAACCTGGCAGACATCCCCCTGCCCGGCGGAGCTGCGGGTCGCTCCCGAGATCATCCCTGTGCAGCCGTCGGATCATGATCCGATCCTGGTGTTCCTGGCTCCCCTTCCTGAAACCTCACCTGTCTGCCAAGCCCAGCACTGCTCCCGCTTCCTAGGGGGAATAGTAGAATCCAGGAAATCACACGTACAGCAGCAGCAGCCGATGGTAAGTAGGAAGTGTCCCATATCTCTATCCTTGGGTTATATCATTCATCCCCTTTCTCAGAAATCTCAGAACTTTTGCAGAGACCCTTCCCCTGGACACCTATTTTCTCTCTCCTGACCCTCAGGCTGAGGCCTACAGCCATTCCCAGAGCATTTCCTATTCCAGCTCCCAGTAGCTTTTCCGAGATGAAAAATTTTGCTATAACCATTGAGTTTAAAGAAGCCACCACCGCACTGAGTTGTCCAGCAAGACATAAAAACAGCAGCAAGGGACTAACGTGCATTTTGGGCGAAAGAAATGGCCATTTTCAGACTTTCCTCAATGACTGCTCAGCGCAGGGGCTTCAATACAGAGGTAAAAACCAGAGGACCGGGCACATTTACGAGAGTTAGAGCCAACCCAACCCATGTCCCACCACAGCCCTGTGCTCGTCCCCGCCTTGGGGAGCTCCTTAAACCAAGAGGCCTCCATTCCCTCCTCCATTCGGGGAGGCCTCTTGGTTTAAGGAGCTCCCCAAGGCGGGGACGAGCCCTTTGCTGCCTTTTGCTGGCATTTTACACGCACCGAGTACAACACAAAGCTGTGTTCTTCTTTTTCCCTTTTTTCTTCTTCTCTCACGTGCAAAGCTTTTCACTGCGGAAAATAAAACGCGCACAGCTAGGGAGGAACTGATAACATTTAACAGTCATTGCAAAGCTATTTAATTCACTCTAAACAGCGTGTCTGCCCTGGGTTAGGAAAAGGTATTGCAATTACTCTACGTGTGCCGCGGCCCCGTTAATATTTCATGCTGCAGCTACCTCGTGTGTTCCCCCGCGCGGAGCTGTGTCCTTCCTCGCTTTTCCATGCTGCTCCACGCTGGAGAGTCCAGCGCAGGGCCACAAGGATGATCAGGGGCCTGGAACATCTGCCCTGTGAGGAGAGGCTGAGGGAGCTGGGCCTGTTCAGCCTGGAGAAGAGAAGGCTGAGAGGAGACCTGATCAGTGTCTATAAGTACCTCAAGGGAGGCAGTGAGGAGGATGGTGCTGGCCTCTTTTCACTGGTGGCCACCGACAGAACTAGAGGAAACGGCCGGAAACTGAAACACCAAAAGTTCCACAGGAACTTAAGGAAAAATTTCTTCCCAGTGAGGGTGCCAGAGCCCTGGAACAGGCTGCCCAGAGAGGTTGTGGAGTCTCCTTCCCTGGAGATCTTCAAACCCGCTTGGACGCAGTCCTGTGCCACGTGCTCTAGGTGACCCTGCGTGTGCAGGGGGTTGGACTAGGTGACCTCGAGAGGTCCCTTCCAACCTTGAGCATTCTGGGATTCTGTGATTCCATGCCCTGCTGTGGGGAACAGTGTCCTGTGCATCTCCAGACACCCCAGATGTGCCTACGCTCCAGTCTGGGGAAGGAGCTAACGTGGTCCCCGTGGTCCCCAGTGCACCCTGCTGCGCTCGGAAGGGTTGTCAGACTTGTCCAAATCCCAAATCTGCTCGTGTCACCCACCCACCACCACAAACTCTCTCATCTGCTGGGGTGAACCATCACCGCAGAATCCCAGACATGTGCAAATTGGCTCAATGGGACAGCCGGGATGAAATCCCCATTCTGCAGGGAAAGCGCGCGGCTTTGACAGACGCGCAGCAGGAACACAGGGAATTTTGGCACTGTCTGCATTTGCCCCTCTGCTGGAAAGAACAGTTTGATCCGGCCCTGGGGACGCCCACGCGGCCTCTCCCTCGTGCAGAGCTTCCTCCCTGGCACCAATGTAACCACGACGCGGTGCAGGAGGAGCCACGACCTCTCCTTAAACCCATCAACTGCCTGGAAAGTGGGAATAAACCAGGTCATACGCAGTGAAGAACAGCCAAGGCAGATGCGACCTTTTTTGTCAAAAGAACCCCTGGGAAGTTACAGAAAGTTTCCTGAAGTCTCCTTGTGCATGGGAACTACGAGGAAAGTCTCTGCAAAGGGTCCTTGTAAGCCCTACAGAGCGGGAGCCCCTGTCTGGACTCTTCCTCCTCTTCGTGGATGAAGGGCAAGACACAGCGGGTGCCTGCGGTGTTGGTCAGCCCCATGGAGCAGCCCAACGTGTCTGCGGGACAGCAGCAATCCCACCAATCCAGGCGCCACCGCGATCCCGCAGCTCCCGCCAGGGAAACCATTCCTCAGGAACGGGCGGAAGGATGAGCACATCCTCCCGGCAACGGGAATCGCGAGCACCGTTGATGACAAAAGTAGCAATCGGGGGAGGAAACCTACCCTTTTAAGATGCATTTTAAGACAAGCCAGTTTCCTTAACACGTTAGCATCGAGAATGCTGCCTGGGCTGAGGGGAATAACAGGGTCCTCACTTGCTGTCCTGCTGTCATTCATACACATATGTGTATATATTTATATATACGCACACATTTTCTATAGGATATACCTGCTCCTCAGCATTTGCTACAGCCGTGCCAAAATAACAACTGATTGGTTAAAAGGGAAGGCTCAGAGCTCTTAGGTGACGTTAGCCCCACACTTTTGGAAAGCTGAAGCAGCTCTTCTGCCCACTTTGGCCTGCTCCGGGGTTTGCCCCACACCAGGGCTCCTGAAGTTGCTGTTCTTCAGCCATTGCTAATACCCAGGTATGGCCTTGAGGTACAAAACGAAGAGCACAAAGGTACAAACGAGCACTAACCAGCCACACGACCCTGCTGTTCCTGCAGCAAAGCCTCCCCGTGTGCCCGGTGCACGCAGGAGCACAACGGCAGCTCCCGGGAGCTGCTGGGCTCCTGTCCCACAGGGAGCCCTGCTCTTCGTTTCCAGCACATTCCGGGCTACGCCATCTCCAGAGGTCCCTTCCACCCGACCATTCCGTGGTAAGCTCCAAAATCTACGCATTCCCTTGAACTCAAAATCGTTGTTCCACACTTCTGCTTGCTTCCCGTCTGCCTCTCCAGGGCCTTTGTGTTGTCTCACATAAATCCGGCCTCAGACGGGGAATAATCATAAACCCACAAATTACATTTATATTTTCCTCATGTTCAAAGATTACAATTATCAATACGGGAAGCTTTTAAATGCTTTCCATCTGCATAATATCTCATTTCAAAGTGTCTTCTGTTATTGTAACACGCAAAATAAAGTGATGAAAGATGAATATATTTGCTTTCCTTATACGTCAACACTTATGCTATTGCTTTATATTAATTTTCTTTTTTATTTTCTTCCATTTTTTAAAAAATTACATTCATTATTTCTAGTCTTTCATGCAGCCATGTGTATGAGGATTTAACCATGTCACTGGGCTTCTAATAAACCAAAGGCCAAATAAGAAGATCAAATATTCTATCAATGAATTTTGCTAGATACCAGAGACGGGAATTAAAAATGTCACTGCAATAAGGCGGCATGATTCACTGCCGCCAGAACCAGGCAAACACAAGTCGCAGAGGCGGCACAGAAACTAATGAAGCAGCTGAACCACATTTTCAGTCCCTGGATTATATCTTAATTGCGGTGGCCGGGAGATGATGCCAACATCTGCAGAGACACGGGCAGGAGATGGGCTCCGTGGCACACTGTGCGCGCGGGACTAAGGCGGCGCTCGGCAGCCTCCAGCCCCTGGATCAGTACAGTTTTACGGCACCGAAGTTGAGATCCCCCAAGGACATGACGATAGTCCCTTTGCTAGAAAAGAAAAGGTTTTTACGCTTCACACCACCAACCCCTATGGAGCGCAGGACGGGAATATCCCAGTGCAGAGCCCAGCAGCAGCCCAACGGGCCCACGCTGCTGCCAGCTCCCATTTCTGCAGGCTGCTTTTAGAGTTAGGTATTTTTAGCTTCATACAGAAAACATCTCTTTTTCCTACGTCCATTTTCTACATACAGTATTAACCTCTTCTTCCTTCCCCTTGCCCTGCACTGTAGAGGCTCCGAATCATCTGGAGCAGTTGGGCGTCCGAGCAGCGCTCTGGCTCGGCGCAGAACGTGCCAAAACACAAACATCACATCAGAGTCTCCCTTCATGGAGCTCAAAGAGAAAAGGATTAAGTTACAGCTCAGGCCCTATAGCCAAAGAAATATTATTAATATGCCAATGCCACATCTGCATTATTCATACCAAAAAAAAAGTTCTAAACCTACTCTTTGAAGCTCTTGTATAATGGTCAGGGCCACCTTTCAGCTCTCGCTCACGCACACATACACATCAACCACCTTTGAAAAACGCCTTAGAGAAGCACCAATAACGTGCCGGTCTCAAGTGGATGCTGCCGGGAGCTGCAATTTAAATTCTATGAGGCTACCTAGAGCAGAAAAGTGGCCCTGATTTCTGGAAAAAGAAACTGCAAACTCTAGTGCAATGGAGCCTGCAAAGCATGGGATGTTGAAAGACAAAGACGCCAAATTATTTCAGGAAATACTTTAAGTAGAAGACAAAAATCAAACCCACCATTTTCAGTACTTTTACCTCTACTATTGTATGCATAAAAGACTCATTTGCCATAAACCCTCTCTCTGAGCGTAACGTCCTGATCACTTCAATAGCATGAGAGTAAGAGTTCAGTTCGGAACGTGTTTTTCAGAGTCACAGAACAGCTGAGGTTGGCAGGGACCTCTAGGGATCACCCAGTCCAGCCCCTGCTCCAGCAGGGACACCCAGAGCAGGGGCACAGGGTCCATCCAGGCGGGTTGGAAGATCTGCAGAGAAGGAGCCTCCACAGCCTCTCTGGGCAGCCTGTGCCAGGGCTCTGGCACCCTCACACCAAAGAAGCTCTTGCACCATTTATCACCACCCTCCGGGCTCTGCCATCCAGCCAGTCCTCAATCCACCTCACAGCCCACTCATCCAGCCCACAATTTCTGAGCTTTCCTATGAGGACGTCATGGGAGACGGTATCAAAAGCCTTGCTGAAGTCAAGGTAGACAACATCCACGGCTCTCCCATTGTCCATCCAGCCGGTCATCCCATTGTAGAAGGCTATCAGGTCCATTTATAAGGCTATTTTTTATATATTTTTAATATTTTCTATTTACATATTTTATTCATATATTCTTATATTTATAATATAGGGCTATTTTTCTATATAAAATTTCCCCGTTCTTTCCTTCCCTGACACCAGGTGGACTTGGCCACATCCTTGCACTCTGGAAGGCAGCCCCCTTGCAATGCAAGGAGAGCCCATGAGCATCTCCAGGCAGCCAAAAATAGGAGTTGGGGAGAAAACACCCCTCCTCTTCACCTCATCCAATTTAAATGCAGTTTCCCTGGCTTATTAGGACTGTGGTGAACTGAGGAAGGCCGGGAAGGGCACAATACATGGAACAACGTAAGGAGTGGTTGATGTCAGCCAATTCCCGTGCCTCCTCCCTTGATCTTCATCAGCTCCATGTAACCTCCCTCACCTCGGCTGTCCACATCTCAAGAACCTCAGGCTCCTGTCGTACTGCAGAAACTCCTACAAGAATAAACTTAAAACACAAACTTTGAAATCTTCTTTCATATAAATAATATATTATTATATGTATTATGTGTTATATAATATTATATATATAATTTATAAATTACACATATATAATAGAACATATTACGTGTTCCCATGTACGTGGGTTTACATGCATCATTCACAAGGGACGAAGCAGAAGACAGAGCTTCCCTACCAGCGTGCTCAGGCTCTGTGGAGCTGCATTTCCACAGGGGCTGCTCCCGTCGCCCACTGGACAACTGGGGAGAGTTAAGTAATTAGCGACACCAGATGCGATTCAGCAGCCTAACGACAGCATTTGTGCAGCAGGTAGAAAATTAGGGGTAAATTTGCACTGCTGTGCATGGGGACTTAGCGAGATGACTTCCATTAACGTTAATGACAGAGAGAGATGGAGAGAAATGCAGCTAAATCCCCCTGTGCAACACTTGGCATCTCCCTGCAATGCCTTCCAGGCGGACACGGGGAATTAGTGTCACCACCTCCAGCTCGGAGACCCTGGTGCCCCCCGACTGCACGTCCAACGCCGAGGAGCAGCAGCTGGAGGCTTTGGTCATTTGACACTCATTAGCAGCAGCATCTTGTGCCGTTCCAGGCCAGCAGAGCTGTGGTGCAGCCTGCTCGTTAAAGCAACCTGCCAGCACGGAGCATGTTTCTGTCAATCCCCCCGTCCACCACCAAAGGTGTGGAGCTCCATCCCCCCGGTACCAGGGATCGGTTGGATCAAAAACCCTGGGAAACAGGTACAGCGAGGGGGCTGCTTGGTCCAAGAGGGGCTCTGGGGCGCGCTGGGCATGGCGCGGCCTCTGAGGAACGTCACCAGCAGAAAGTGTCCCCTGTCAATGAAAACTGCCCCTATTAACAAGGGCATCAAAATGCTAGAAGTCGTCCTGGCTCCGGTCTGACAAGGGCTGGAGCCAGCCCTTAATTCTACCCTCTTCTTCCCCATTTGCACATCCTGGCCTTGTACGCAGTGAAGATCAGTGAAATAAGAGGATTAAAAATACATCTTTTTTCAGTGAAACAGTACTTTGTTATCAATGTGGTAAGTTGCCCTCCTGGAGCAAACAGAAAACCCCTGACACAGAAGCTTTGCTTTAAATCAAAACACTTAATTTATACAATAAATTAAATCTTTGCTTATAAAAGAGGAGAATGTGCTCCCTAATTCAAGCCAATTTTTTCCTGGACAGTGACTACAATAGCTTTTACTTGGAAAAGGAAAGATGACCTGCACTCTATAGAGATATTGCCAGAGAACGAAGAAAGAACTAAAGTCTGGGATGAAAACAGCGTAGATATGCAACAGGAGGTGGTCTTTCCCCAGGGGAAAACCAGGAACAGACAACTTCCCTCCTGAAAATATGGGGAAAATACGACCCACTACATTTGTTTCAACCTGACATGCGATAGAAGATGATCTTCTAAGAAATATATATTCGTATACTTTTTTTTTTTTTTTTTTTTATATGTATATATAAAAGGAAAGAAAGAAAAGGGTTAAGGTAAGGACATTGATGCATTTGCAGGAAGAAGGCCCAGACTTGCTGTGGCCTCACAAGCACCTTTTTCATCTCTGTGGATAGCTTAATTGGACAGACAGCTACATGTTAACAGCTTAATTTTAGCTTAATAGATAATTTTGCATCTGGAAAAAGGCATCTGTTTATTTTATTTTTAACAATTTTCTCTTCTGAAACCAGACCTTGGCCCTCCATTGATACGCAGGTACTTTGGGTGAACCTCCCCTTGCTACTGCCACAGCTCTGAAACCAGGTAAAGGAATTGCTGACTGCTCTCCCATTCAGCCAAATGGGCCCTGGTAAGGGTCAAAATTCAACAAAACCAGAGTCAGAATTAAGGAAACGAGGGATTCAGCTCTAAAGATCCTGTGTTATAATGGCAAGTTACTTTGGGCAGCAGATTGCACGTGGCTGCTTAAAAGATGCCACAAATGGAGCCTTTCCCCATGGCTTGACAGGAGCTCCACGGTTATGGAAGGAATACCGTGTTCTCCCTGTGGAACAAGGTCCAATACAAGCACTCGTATTTCTCATACAGCACTTTTCTGCAATGAACTTGAAATGTTTAGTCAGGTTTAAACTGTTTTGGACAAAAGTCTTCCAAGTCACTATCAAGGCATGGTCAAACACTCATTTTCCAAAGGATGACATCCAGGGACTGCAATATTTTTGTGTCCATCTAAATGGAAATACGTTAGTCCAAACCAGTTTGCCATTGCTAATAATTAGGTACACTAATAATTAGGTATTTCTAGTTCTTTCCTGCCTGTGTGTGGAAGATGTTCTATGTGTGTAAACCAAAGCATCCACTCCATGCTCACACAACCTGGCGTTTCATTTACCTGGATGGCTTCTTCAACCCCAAAATGAGAATCATCAGATTTGTCTTTTTACACTCAAATATTTTGACACCAGACCAAAAGGGATCACTATTTTTTGTGGCTTTGACTTCTGTTAACAGAACAGAAGAGAGTGTAACCCACTTTAGAGACATCCACGATAGCTTGAAGCCAAGTAGGTAGCAGCAGCATCGCCCGCAGAAGGCGCAGGGAAAGTCACCCTGCTCCGTGACAGATGCACTAAAAGCAGAGTCTTGACTAAATGCAGCTTGATGGGAAGGGCGAAGCTGAAGGACTTTCCTTGAGCTCTGAGATTCAGTAACTCGGCAGGACTGTTTGAGGGGGAAGCAGAGAAAACCAGCGCGCTGAGGCACCCCAATAGCTGCTGGGCCGCGCACGGCGCCTCGCGACGCGCTGCCCTGCTTCAGCGTCGCGCTCGTGCCCTGGCTCATCCTCAACGAGATGCGTGTGCTTGGCTTGACTCTCAGCTGTGCCCCTTACACACGCATGGATTTATAAAGGCTTTTGTTGTTGTTTTCTTAGAGCAGGAAAGGGAGTATGCGTCAGAGCGGCACAGAACTGACGAGAACAGCTGAACGGCTTTTAGAAAATCTCGAAGCGGAACAACGGAGTACCCCAAAATAAACCATTATGCCGACATCGTCCTCATAAAGCACAGAGAGGAGGGGATGACACGGGTGCCTGTATGAGCACTAAGGGCAGAGAGCCCTTGGAAATCATTGGGAAGGCCTCTGGGCACCCCAGACTCGGTCCCCACGCTGCCCGGTGCCATCCCGAGCTGCCCACGCCACGGCTGTGGGAACACAAAGCCAGGAAATCGCTGCTTCCACCCAAACCGTGGGGCTAACATCTCCCAGCCAGCAGGTCCGTAACAGGGAGGAGCCAGGAGAAACAAAGACCTCCTGGAGATCTTCCTCAGCCATCCACTGTGAGCTCTGCAGCACCGGGGCTTTTCAAATGGTCAGTTAGAGGCTTCCATCCCCTCCTCCAAAGGGTTCTTGAGCCAAAACTGAACACGGAGCACAAGGTGGTTGATGGACCAAGACGCTTGATTTTCCCACCCACACAATTTTTCAGAAACATAAACTTTTAGTTGTTTCCTTAAATTGATTTGAGGGGTTTCATCAGAAAATTAAAAGAAGAAAATCTGGCTACAGTGGTAAACTTTTGTTTTATGTTTCAAAGCAAGAATATGATTTGGTTTCCCAAGTTCTGCTCCGTTTTGCAGAGCTGCTTTTGACACTTATCTAAATCTGTGAGGAAAGCTGCCTTTCCCCATAGTTTTATTTAATAAGTGTTTGCTTAAAAGAAAAACACATTTTGATGGAAAACGCGGGCCGAGGACCTGTGATCTCCCTCACGTGTCTTGAAGTGTGAGTGAAAGCCTCTCACGGACAATTATTCACAAAAACACACACAGAACCCCATATCCCGACTCGGTCCTGCACAGAGTCCTTGACATGACACACGCATAAAAAAAAAATCTATACAGTAAATACTAAATGAAAAGAGAAAATTTCAACTGCTAAAACACAATATCATCTAGGAAACGTTTCAATTACCAATACTCTGATTTCTCAGGAACTTTTGTTCCCCCTTCCCTGTATCATTCTCACAGCTAGATCCAATCTGCGCTGGTGTTTGCAGCTACTGCATGCTCAGGTATCTCTAGGAAGCAATTGTCTGCCTGGAAATATTTGATCATTAGCAGAGAGCAGAACGCAGGGAAATATCAGCATGCGGACGATGGGAAATCACCAGGAATGTGATCACAGCTGGAACCTGAAGTTTGGCATGCTCCAGAAAGACATGTGTGCATGAGGTATAATAAGCAGCAGCATATGATATTAAAAAAAAAAAGAAGACAAAATCCAAAATATTAGAACAGTATTTCTAAACACGTCACGTTCAGACCACCTAGCCTTAATACCCTCTAGACCACTCTTCCTGCTACCATCAGAACTAGGGAGAACAAGGCACAGGGATGCTGGGGTGAAGAGAAATATTTGCTCTTGGGGCTTTTATCCCTAAGCTACACAGGGCTGAGGGATCAAACCGTCCTGCAGCCGCGTGCTGGGAGCACCCAGCACCGAGCAAAGCCAGTACTGAGTGTCCTGGAGGCTCCTGCGAGGCAAGAAAACCCCTTCTCCAAGGCAGGCATCCCCCTACCAATCCCCAAAGGTCTTCACCGTCTCTCTGAAGCAACCTATGATTCACCTGACAGAGAGGGCAATTTAGGGGAAACAAAAGCTCCAATTTTCCAGGTTTATACAGTTCCAAGAGAGTCAGATTTTGGGTTTGGGTTATTTTTGTTTGTTTGTTTTTTTGTTAAGTACTCAAGTAAGTGAAGTGCTAACCTAGAGCCCTACTTATTCTTTTCGATCATTATGTACCACCCCCAATTCGAAGTGTGGGCAGTAACAGTTGCATGAGGTATCGAGATCTTTTCATTTCCAACAGCTACGTACAGGCACATAAGCTAGAGTCAAATGAAAAGCTTATCATTAAACCTACAATGATGAACTACTTTAAGAGCAAGAGCCACCCTACTTCTGACAAGGTCACTCATTGGCACCAGTTCTGTGCAAGTTAGTCGCAGCTTTTTTCAATTTTGTCCCATTTTGTACTGACACATGGGCTACATTTATTGCAGTGTGAAGTCTTCCTTCGTTTCCTCTTATCTGCAGCTCTTGGGACCCTTTGCGCTGCTATCCCAATACTTCAAACATTGCAGCCTGCGACATTTCAAATGTTGCTGTTGAAACATTTATCATAGGAACATGAGACGTTGCTATTAAAAAGAGCGAGCTTTCAGCAACAAATAAAGCAAAGGAGCCTGAACTGCTGTCATGTTGCAAAAACATCCTTATTTGCTCCCAAATCCCTACTCAGGGCAACTGTAGCCAAAATACAAGCAATTAAGGGCTGTGCTAATGACTACAGCTACACAACCTTCCTCTTACATCAAAGCAGGCTGAGTTGGGCCTGAATTTAATTAATCTTTCTTATCATAATATTATGATTTCATTCCAAGAGACTTAAGCATGCGAGCAGCCTCCTCCACGTTTGGTGGGAACAGCCAAAAGACTTTGGATCAGTAGCATGAACCTGTCCTAAAGTACCACTGTTTCTGATCTGGACTTCACAAAGAACCGGCCTCATTCTTATAAAAAGCCAGATATTAGGAGAAGTTAACAAAAAAGCACAATAAAAAACGTTCCAAACTGATTACTTACAGTACACGTCCACTCTTATGGACTTTATAGCTGGCGACCCCAAGCCATTTTCGGCCTTACAGTAGTAGCGGCCTCCTTGATGTCTCTGGATGTTGGTTATCCTCAGAGTTTCGTTGAAGACGCTCGAGTCTTGGAATCGGTCAGAGGCACTTCCTGCTGTTTTGGTCCACCTGATCTGAGCAAGCACCAGAAAAGACTGTTAAAGTGGGCTGTTTGCAAACAGGAGCACAACACAGCTCTATCCTGACGGGAGAGCCACGCGCGGCGGCCAGGACTGCCCACGGGGGACCCGGGGGACTCTGGAGAACTCGAGACACCCAAGAGGCTCGGGGCTGTAAGCATGTATTTATCAAAATAAAGGATTATTTTTGATGGAGAAAGAAAATAATAAAACCACCACCCACATAGAAGATAAATGCCACCAGGCAGAGACGTGCAGAACCAACTCTCAGTGACACCAGCTTGAAAAACTGTCCATTTACAACAAGCAGAGCTCGCTAGAAAAGCCTGGCTTACTGGAGCACTGAACATGGTTTAATAGCATATTAATGAGAAAACACTGGAAAACACTTTTAAAACAGTTGATTGCTTATCTTTGAGGAGCCAAAACATCCAATTCCAAACAGCTCAGGAATCAGCAGCTTGAAGCTGCAGCAAGCTCTGAACACAGATATTTCTGTAAACGGTATTAAATAAAATAATTTATAGTGATTACGGAGTTTTTTACCCCGGTATTTTCCCAAACTGCAACGACATTTCAAAGCAAGTATTGCCAGTCCCCAAACAGTCGGAAGGTCTGTCCACACCAAACAACAGCCTTCTTTTAAACAGGGCCTCATGTAAGAGAAAACGAAGCAGTGAAGCACAAAGTCACTATTGTACAGACCCAGCAAAAACCTCTGCGTAACCCATTGAACAAACCCACCCATTCATGGACGGTGCAGGAGGTTCGGCGGGCGGCAGAGAAACCTCCACACCTGGGGCCCAATATCCAGGGGCAGCCCCGGCCCTGCTCAGCCCAGCGCTTCCTGCGCCCGTACGGGCAGGTCGGCGCACACCAGGACACACCTGGCCATTCTGTGCCAGACGGGGATGGAAAACATCCGTGGAAATCAGACCTCTGCGGCTCGCCAGGCTGACCACAAACCAGGCCCCAGGGGAAAACCCCTCCAGAGTGAGTTGTTCCTCAGACCACCGTCACGCTGCAAGGAAAGGGTCTCTTTTTTCCAAGGAAATTGGAGTAGAAGCAAGCCTGGGTCACCAGCCGCTACCAGGGGCAGCAGTTTAACCCCAGGCCAGAAGAGGTTCCTCCAGGAGGGCTGGCAAAGCAGCGGCCCCGAATGCCTCCAAAGCCCGGGTCTTCCAGAACCACAACTCGCACGGTCCCTCCTCACCCGTCCCATCTATTCTCCACCTCTCCTTCACCATCTGCAGAACCTTAAGCACTTTCCAGAAGTTGACGAGGATTGTAGGATAGAAACAGAGACAC